CCCCCTCATCCAAACGTGTTATCTCAGTTGTCCCCTCTAGCTTTCACCCTCAGGGGCTTGAATTATCTCATATTTCCATGTCAGCAGGTTCGGCTCTCACAGTGACACACGAAATTGCCAGGAGCGCCCTCCAGCGGGTACCTGCAATATTAAGATACAACTGTTTCTATTGTGTTCATCAATGGTCGCAGTTAACCTACTACTGAACTGTGTAAACGAAAGCGTGTGAAAAAGAGTTTGCTTGCTCGCTCAAAATATGTATGTGTCTGTGGCTTCTGTGTTGACCTAATAGTTATTCATTTACACGTCTATCGAGGACGGAAGATACCCCTGTTTGTGCACAGACAATCGAGTGGCTACACATTTATGATACACATAACGCTTGGTCTGTACACTCTTACACATCAGGATACACAGAAAATAAAGCTTCACACACCCACACATCAGGATACACAGAAAATAAGGCGTTACACATCCACACATCAGGATACACAGAACATTAGACGTGACACACCCACATATCAGGATATACAGAACATTAGGCGTGACACACCACACACACATCAGGATACACAGAACATTAGACGTGACACACCCACACATCAGGATACACAGAAAATAAGGCGTTACACACCCACAGATCAGGATATACAGAACATTAGACGTGACACACCCACACATCAGGATACACAGAACATTAGGCGTGACACACCCACACATCAGGATACACAGAACATTAGACGTGACACACCCTCACATCAGGATACACAGAACATTAGGCGTTACACACCCACACATCATGTAAAGACAGAACGTTAGACAGGTAAACCCTCACACATCATGATACACAGAACGTCAGACAGGTAAACTCTAATACATCATGGTACACAGAACGTCAGATAGGTAAACTCTCACACACCATGGAACACAGAACGTCAGATAGGTAAACTCTCACACACCATGGTACACAGAACGTCAGACAGGTAAACTCTCACTTATCATGATATACAGAACGTTGTAATAGTACACTCGTACACATCATGATGTACAGAACGTTATGTTGGTACACTCCGACACATCATGATTTATATAACGTTAGGCGGTTCACTCTCACACATAACGATACACATAACGTTACTGCTGTATAATTTCAGACATCATGATACACAGAACGTTAGTGCTGTATACTCTCACACATCATGATGCACAGAACGTTAGTGCTGTATACTCTCACACATTATGATACACAGAACGTTAGTGTTGTATACTCTCACACATTATGATACACAGAAAGTTAGTGTTGTATACTCTCACACATCATGATGCACAGAACTTTAGTGCTGTATACTCTTAAACATCATGATACACAGAACTTTAGTTCTATATACTCTCACACATCCTGATACATAGACCAAGCTTAAGTCATGCTGGAGTGCCTTTACCTCCCATACCATTACTTCATTGATCACTTTTCTTTGCGTTTACTGAATGCAAAATTCTGCAGAAATGTCTGGCTGTTCGTCCACTTCGAGACTTTAGTCATGTTTCAGAACTTGGCTTTTGTGTGCACAGTTATGTATATGCAGACTGTTGGCTCCTTGTCTATTAGGCAGATGCAAGAGACACCCCTAATTAGTCGCCTTTTACGACATGATTGTTTGAGGCAGTTTTTCTGTTTTGCACGAAAAATAGGACCATGAAAACCAAAGCGGAACCCTGAACTCATTTCAGGAAGGGTCAGCCGGAGATCTAACATCTGCGGCGACGCTGGTTGGAGATTGTGAAGGGCATTATGAGTCATGCAGGACAGCCAAGGTAGATCAAGGAGGCGGTATTGGGACTACAGAGGTGGTGAAGAGTGAGAGGGGTGTAGTACTGGAAGATGGGGCGCTGAGACACTAGAAAACAATGCAAATAGTTTTAACTGTGCTGGGTGCGACTCTCGCATCAAAATATGCATCCCACACAAAAATTGCTTCAGGAGTAGGGGGTCGGGGGACCCCCACATTTTAACCTAATGACAAAGTCGACATATGAGACCGCAGGTTGTAGAGTGACATGGTTGACCACTCCAGTCAACTAGGCACAACATACTGATAGGTCCCACAGCCTGTGTATGAGTTCACTTCGCAGCCCCTCACCCTTTCCCCAAAATCATCATAAAAAATAACTCTCTCTCTCTCTCTCTCTCTCTCTCTCTCTCTCTCTCTCTCTCTCTCTCTCTCTTTTGAATATACCTCACGCGATTTAGCTGCCCTTTCTCATCCCCCTAATGGAACATTAACCATTTTCACTCCAGCATCCTCCTCTCAGTATCGATTTATGACGTCGTTCATCTCTAAATAGAAATCTGCATTTACTCCTAAATTCACGAACTGGTGTGTACCTGATATACTACTTCTGTACTCTCTCACTGTTATATCATTATCAGTCGAATTCGTTCTCGTCTCGCAAACTAAAATTCACCCGCTTTGTAGAGGCTTGGAAAAGACGGTGATGGAGGATGCAGTTTGTGGAAGGCGAAGCAGGGTCGACCACCGAGATGATTGATACAGGACATTGAAGAAGCATTGACTTTGAAAGCACATAAGGTCGGAGAGCTGGCTAGGGAAATGGATACTCTGGGGCGTGCTGTGAAGAGAGCCACGTTCTTTAAAGGACTTGCTGATTGATAAAAAAAATTTTACGTCACCCAGCTGGGTTTGAAGGGTTGCATTCCGTCAGGCTAGAGGAAATATAGAAACAACAGTAGCAAAGCGCTGTTAGTGAAAACAAAACTAAGGTCTTACTTGTCTCCCTGGATCTTCAGTTGGTAGGGCTCCAGCGTCGGCTTCTCGGGCGCTCCCTGAGGCATGACCAGGACGGCCTTGTAGCAGGTGAGAGTCACGGCATAGGAGAGCCTTTGCTGTAATCAAGTTTTATCATCAGATCATGTTATCTTACCAACTCTCCCCACTGCTAAAACACCCAAGCATCACTATGGCACTAAAACGACAACTGATAAATTGCATGTTTATACCAACCCTCTGCTACCAATGCCAAACCTGGTCCCTAACAAGAGCACAGGAGAAAAAGATCACGACGTGCGAAATGAGATACTTAAGTAAGGCTGCCAATGTCACAAGGAGAGACAGAGTTCAAAACTAGAACATTAGAGCAATTGTATGAACCACACCGTGACTGCAATACATGAAGAAGCAATAAATAGAGCGGTTTGGCCACTTGATGCGAATGCAAACCGACCAACTGCCTCTACGAGCATACAACGAACAGCACTACTGCCCTAGAGCAAGAGGCAGACCGACAATACGATGGATAGACAATATATCAGAGATCCTGAGGCAACACGGACTAACAACAACACGTGCAACACACCTGGCCCAGGATAGAAAACAGCGACTCCCCACTACGCTGTGAGGCAATTGTGGACAAGACAAGACAAGACAAGACATGTTATCACTGTGCTTTCTTGTTTATACGTGTTGTTTATCATCATTTCATGTTTTCACTGTGCTTTCCTTTTTATACGTGTTGTTTATCATCAATTCATGTCATCACTGTGCTGTCTTGTATATACGTATTGTTTATCATCACTTCATGTTATCATTGTCTGTTCTTGTGTATATGTGTTGTTTATTATCATTTCATGTTATCAGTGTGCTTTCTTCTGTATACGTGCTGTTTATCATCACTTCATGTTATCACTGTGCTTTCTTATGTATACGTGTTGTTTATTATCATTTCATGTTATCAGTGTGCTTTTTTGTGTATACTTATTGTTTATCATCAGTTTATGTTATCAATGTGCTTTCTTATGTATACGTGTTGTTTATTTTCATTTCATGTTATCAGTGTGCTTTCTTGTGTATACTTGTTGTTTATCATTAGTTTATGTTAACAATGTGCTTTCTTATGTATACGTGTTGTTTATTATTATTTCATGTTATAAGTGTGCTTTCTATTAATATGCTTATTGTAGAATATAATATTATCAGCAAGGGAAAATTTAAAAAAATATATTATAGCACAATACAATATATTACAATTATTCAAATAAATTCATATGAATTGAGATTCACAGGTATATGTCCAGGGGAATGTTTTACATTGATTTTCCTGAACACCATTTAGCAGATATTGTATGATGTTTTATCACTGACTTTGAACTCTTCCCTGTGCGTCCCAAGGAAGCCATGTGTATGTGTGTACGTGTCTATGTGTGTGTATTATGATCGCGCTTTGATTTCTTCTGTTCTACTTCATTATTGAATAGAAGCTTCTAAAGTGCCACCTATCTGCATTCTTGAAGTTGGTGCTCTCCTTCATCCTCAGTGTGTAGTTCCACGAGTTTACCTGAGACTCTAGCTGATAAATGCTAAACTGATTCTCTTTAAGAATCACAGAGACGCTTCAAGCGCTCTCGTTATCGAAATGTCTTTCAACCAGTTGGTGGCTTCTCTAGATTTGATCACCCGCCACGCCTTTCTCAGAATTCTCAATCTATTGTGATTTCTGTTTGGTAGAATATGCTCGTAAATTCCACTTTGTGAGGTGGCTTTCTGTTTTAAGTGTGGTAATCTCTCTCATAGTCAGTAACTAGTTCCTCTATACATGCACTGCACTGATAGCGGGATGGTTACCATGTAATGACACTGTCATGTTTGATGATTTGAATGTGACCTTGACCTGTGGCAGTGTAGAACTTGACATGGCGTGTCAACTCTAGCATCTGTCTCCCCGCTCCGATGGAAGTATCTGTTGCACCTAGACAAGCAATATGTCTCCCCGCTCCGATGGAAGTATCTGTTGCACCTAGACAAGCAATATGTCAGTACTTGAATGTGTCTCCTTGTGCCTTTAGGACTGCATGGTGTATCAATAGGCACAATCCGCATTTATTTGTCTGGGAATGGTCCAGATGAAGCAGATAGTGTTACAATTAACAGATTTACTCGTTTCCGAAAATACTAAATAATGAAGCAATCAAATGTGCATGTTACCGTTTTTGGTCCGATTTTCATACAGCTGGGCCAGTTTATAAAGAAGACAAATGGTGCCACACGAACGTAAACTTTCCTGCAGTCTCGCTCTCCTTGAAGATCTTTCAAGGTCAAAGATTTGACCTTGTAAGGATCAAAATTCCGAGCTCTGTGGAAAAATACATAAAACAACTTGTAAATCTGGTAATCTGGTAATCCTAGATTTCTAAATATTCCTTGCCTGTCTGGGACGTGTTCGTTTCAGGATTTTAATTATGGGCAATTGTAGAAAGACCCAGTTGTAGAAAGACCCAGTTGTAGAGAGACCCAGTTGTAGAAAGACCCAGTTGTAGAAAGACCCAGTTGTAGAAAGACCCAGTTGTAGAAAGACCCAGTTGTAGAAAGACCCAGTTGTAGAAAGACCCAGTTGTAGAAAGACCCAGTTGTAGAAAGACCCAGTTGTAGAAAGACCCAGTTGTAGAAAGACCCAGTTGTAGAAAGACCCAGTTGTAGAAAGACCCAGTTGTTGTAAAGTTGGAAGTGCGACTAGAACCTAAAATATGACTAAATAATATGTAATCAAAATTGCTATAAGAAAATAGGTAATATGATTGTATGTTATAATTCGTTGTTTTTCACTGTCATTATATAGTACATGTATATTCGTAGTGGGTAACAATATAAGCAACTGGATGAGAACTGGATTAAGACTAGACATTGTCAGGTCATATAGTAATGCAAGATCATTGGTGACATATATGTAGCACTGACACAGACCAAGGAAGACGAGAAGGTGCCGAGAAGACGTCCACGAGGTTTTACAAAGAAAACAACATCTATGACATGAAGACAACATCTATGACGCGTGGAACCTGCACCGTGTCCTTGAATTGTTGCTTCTGTAGACGAAATTGGTAATGCTGTGTAAACTATCCAGGCTCGTGTCTGGCTTCAGTCGATACGGTTGTCATTCTACACAGAACTGGATCCATTCTGCTGAGCAGGCGTTTTTCGTGTACGTCAGACTTGCTGATGTCAACTTGGATAATATAGATATGTGTGCGTTACTTTCTGATAAAGGCAAACAATTAAATACAAGCAAGAAATTAAACAGAGACCGGCATCCCTCTGGGCTGGCCTGCCTGTTTTGTGAGCAGACAGGAATTTTAACTAATCAACAAATGCATTACATGACACAAATAAAATATGAAACAACTGGCAGAGGTAAACAGAAAAATTCAATTTATACAACAGAGTTTTTAATGCTGAGGAACTAAGGGTTGTGAGAATAGCAAGCTCTTATGTACTCACTGAAGAACTAAGGGCTTTGAAAATCGCAGGCACTAATGTACTCACTGAGGAACTAAGAGCTGTGAGAATCGCAGGCACTAATGTACTCACTGAGGAACTAAGGGATGTAAGAATCGCAAGCACTAATGTACTCACTGAGAAACTAAGGGATGTAAGAATCGCAAGCACTAATGTACTCACTGAGAAACTAAGGGATGTAAGAATCGCAAGCACTAATGTACTCACTGAGAAACTAAGAGCTGTGAGAATCGCGAGCACTAATGTACTCACTGAGAAACTAAGCGATGTAAGAATCGCAAGCACTAATCTACTCACTGAGAAACTAAGGGCTGTGAGGATCGCGAGCACTAATGTACTCACTGAGAAACTAAGGGCTGTGAGAATCGCGAGCACTAATGTACTCACTGAGAAACTAAGGGCTGTGAGAATCGCAAGCACTAATGTACTCACTGAGAAACTAAGGGATGTGAGAATAGCAAGCACTAATGTACTCACTGAGAAACTAAGGGATGTGAGAATAGTAAGCACTAATGTACTCACTGAGAAACTAAGGGCTGTGAGAATCGCGAGCACTAATGTACTCACTGAGAAACTAAGGGATGTAAGAATCGCGAGCACTAATCTACTCACTGAGAAACTAAGGGATGTAAGAATCGCGAGCACTAATGTACTCACTGAGAAACTAAGGGATGTAAGAATCGCGAGCACTAATGTACTCACTGAGAAACTAAGGGATGTAAGAATTGCGAGCACTAATGTACTCACTGAGAAACTAAGGGATGTAAGAATCGCGAGCACTAATGTACTCACTGAGAAACTAAGGGATGTAAGAATCGGGAGCACTAATGTACTCACTGAGAAACTAAGGGATGTAAGAATCGCGAGCACTAATGTACTCACTGAGGAACTAAGGGATGTAAGAATCGCGAGCACTAATGTACTCACTGAGAAACTAAGGGATGTAAGAATCGCGAGCACTAATGTGCTCACTGAGGAACTAAGGGATGTAAGAATCGCAAGCACTAATGTACTCACTGAGGAACTAAGGGCTGTGAGAATCGCAAGCACTAATGTACTCACTGAGAAAGTAGGGGATGTAAGAATCGCAAGCACTAATGTACTCACTGAGAAACTAAGGGATGTAAGAATCGCAAGCACTAATGTACTCACTGAGGAACTAAGGGCTGTGAGAATAGCAAGCTCTAATGTACTCACTGAGGAACTAAGGGCTGTGAGAATAGCAAGCTCTAATGTACTCACTGAGGAACTAATGACTGTGAGAATAGCACGCACAAATGTACTCACTGAGGAACTAATGACTGTGAGAATAGCACGCACAAATGTACTCACTGAGGAACTAATGACTGTGAGAATAGCAAGCACAAATGTACTCACTGAGGAACTAATGACTGTGAGAATAGCAAGCACAAATGTACTTAGTGAGGAATTAACGACTGTGAGAATAGCAAACACTAATGTACACATTGAGGAACTAATGACTGTGAGAATAGCAAGCACTAACGTATTCAGTGAGCAACTAACGAATGTGAGAATAGCACGCACGAATGTACTCACTGTGGAACTAAAGACTGTGAGATTAGCATATACTAATGTACTCACTTGATTTTTTTATCTACAACCAGGTTGTAGGAGTCTATGTATAAGATTCCTTCCTCTGCTTCTTGAACTATGAGAACGTGAGCTCGGAGTACTTGACCTCCCACAGTCTGCTCCATGTACAATACCGGCACCTGTAACGAGTTTAGTAAACATGGTCTGCTTGTTGCTTTAGCAATATGTCAATTCAATCATTTATTCAGCCACCCATGAATTCATTCATTCTTTCATTCATCTAGTATCACGTTCCGAATGTATGTCCCATAAAGCTCGATGTCTACTCATGCATTCCGTCTTATCCTGTGCAATCACATGGATACAATCCGGCCAGCACATTTGGCCTCTCTCGCCAACGTTCGTTTTAAGGTTTCTTCTGGGCGATGTCCTCGCATAATAATCCGTTTATTTCCTATTTTAATGCTTGTTTGTTGTTTATGCTTGTTTGGTAATTTTCTGCTTATTTCGTGTCTTGTACAACGCCTTTTTTTTCTCTGTCATAAACTGTTGATACTATTTCTTGTCCAGATATTGTGTGTGCGTGCGTGAGTGTGTGTGTGTGTGTTGGTGTGTATGTGTATTTTCACCCTTCTTAAATGAATCCGGCTGTAGGTTATCATTTTCCGCAGGCATTTGTTTTCGAATACATTTCGTTTCATGATTCTTCTCCAACTGTCACTGTCCTTTTTAAAATTAGAAAAAAAAAAAAAAAAAAGCATAGAATTGCAAACACGTAATTCGGCTTTGAAACTACACAGTTTAGAATTGCATGTTTTATTGAGGCTTTTGCAACTGCTTAGTCTCATTATTACCTTTGGCCAATGCGGGGATGACTTTCTGTTTCCATTGCTACCGACAAGTGATACGTCCCTGACTGCAGCAAGCAGGTAACTATCACAACCTTTAAAAATTCCTTATCTGACCTTTGACTTCTGCAGCTACCTTCATCATGTAATTATCTTATAGATTGATTCGCACACTGCTTAGAGTCTCGGACTTTGTTAGGTTAGTAAAATTTCTACTATCTTTTACATGAGTGTGTGGTTACACTTACCGGCGATAAAGCAGGTGCGAATACCGGCACTATTCTGGCATAAAACAGGGTACGGATATCCCCTTCTTTCTCCACCTGCTCCCAGTCACTGAAATTGCCGTTGACGACACAGTAAAACTCCACCAGGGTCTGCGACAATTCTGAATGGAAGACAGTCAGATGTGTTAGTTGTCTGACCTTCAAGTCATGTCTGTATCATGTGTGTGCTCGTCTGTATTATGTGTCCTTGGTGTTGGCATCTTTCTATCTGTTCAGAGGACAGTGTTGTATTAAAGAGAGGGATTGGAATTACAGCCCATTGAGGGGGGGGGGGGCAAAGTGTGTCACTCAAGGCCAAGGATGAAGATGCTCCTCTCCATAGCACAAGCCTATGCATTACTGTAGAGATCCAGTATTGTCCCTACATCGTGATCCATCTCTCAGGATGACTCCAAAGGCAAGATAACACCGATACATTTCGAAGAAGACATACTGCAGAAGCTGCCAGCTCAGAAGAGAATTGATGTCTCTCCCGGTCGAAGCTGTCTTCCCAATGAAGGTTGGCTTCAACGGATCTCTGACAGACTCGATCTGTGTCTGGTCTAGGTTGTAGGCTCCATAAGACTGCTGTTTGTCTATCTACTGATGTTGCCGCTCTCCCCTCAACCTACACCCCCCCCCCCTCACCTAACGGAACTTGTATCGTTGTCTACTTTCTGCTCTCGACCTCGCCCTCTAGTATGGCTTTGGAAGAGTTGTGTGTATGTGTGTGAGTGTGTGTGTAAGTGTGTGTGTGTGTAAGTGTGTGTTTAAGTGTGTGTGTATGTGTAAGTGTGTGTGTGTAAGTGTGTGTGTAAGTGTGTGTGTGTGTGTGTGGCCAAATATTTCAATTGTATTCTTTTTATTTACTTTAGTAATTCTCTTTCTCAGAGCCCCTGTATTTGATTGTTTCTGTTTCTATGAAATACGACTTATTCTTTTGTCTTACCTATTTTTTTTCACAGACTCGATCTTTTAATGACATGACATAGGAACTATTCTTCTGTTATCCACGTTTATTTGCAGACACTTGATTCGATTTCTAGCTGCTTGTTCATCGTCCAATGATCTCCCCGATACAACATGGCTAAAAATACTTAACATCTGGCCAGAGACAGATCAAACAGAATACGCAGTGCGCGCTTTGTATGTGACAGCTTTGTCAGCTGGTAACGGGGATTCTATGATAAGACTAAGCTTAGTCTTAGTTGTAGTCGAGGCTTCAACTTCACTTCAGTAGGGTCACTTCATTCTTGCCCTCTTCCTGTCCAAGTGAAAATCAAATGAAATGTCATTCATTTTCCCATTTGAGAAACTAGTGAACAAGTAGTTATTCCTGGCACAATGCAGAAATATACACACACAGAAATGTATGTGGAATTGCAAGAGGCTCCAAAGCCAACAGTTGTCATCAGAAACGCAGTTTTTCAAAGATGGATGTAGTCGGTCACTATAAGTTAGCTACACAGGTACAATGATTACACAAAGTATTTACAACAGCCCACACGTTAACCGCCTATCTACTAAATTAAATACCACAACAACACGCTACACAAAGGCATCTCACATTAACAACACAGCTTACATTGCGGCACCAAGCACCTAGTTCAGTAGCATAATCTGCGCGACAAAAGACTTATGTTAAATGTGCAAATTGCTCTAGCAAAGCGCTGTCAGTAGCACACATATCTTCGAAGCGAAACATTCGGCCTTGGCTAGTCCTTCCATATTGGACCGGAAGTCCGGTACTGAATGTCAAAAAACAAAGAATTTTTCTTGGATCCCTGGTGAGTCCTCCCTACCAGATCTTTACTGCGTATCTATCTGCACATGCATTTATTTATAGACCCATCTCTTCACACAACCGTCTCTCCACACTGCAATTTTTCTACATATCCAGGGTGGCGTTAAAGTCGTGTGACTTCGTAGACGGCAAACATGTATTTGTGCTTTGTAGCCTTGTAGAGGGTGATGCATTTCTACGTCATAATCTTGTTTACACAGTGTAGATGTCTGTTTTTTGTCGACAGTCTAAAATAAGTAACACAAACTGACGGAATGGTACATTATTGATAATCTATGCAGAATGACAGTCCGTCCGATATATTTCCTGAACACAATGGCTAAACTGATAGATATATAGATACAGAGACGGATTGACAAAAGGAATTCATGCAAAGAGATACAAGCATTAGAAGACAGGTTTTAATACAGGTAGAATTTTAAACAGGCAGACATACGTTTAATCAGGCTGGTGGGCAGACATACAGACCTGAAACAGACAATTGGATACTGTACATAAATTAACAGACAGATTTGCTGGCAGACTGATGTACATACGTAGCGACAATAAATTAACAGACACACAGAGTAACGTACAGGCGAATACATAAATACACCACTACTGAGAAACAGATGCCTGAATAGACAGACAGTTAGTTGCCTATCCTCTACAGGTTGTTGCAGAACCAACCCCTGGAAATTGTGTTGTTGTTGGTTGTTGTGGTTTTTCTAAGCAAATTTGACCTTTAGTAGTTTGCCATTGCTCCTCAGCGGTCAGCTCCCGATACCATGTTGAAACCAACCTAGATAAATCGTCCCTAGCTGGGATCGAACCCGGCATTAGGAAAACCGTTCGCAACGCGAAGCCTCTGAAGCCGACAGACAATTACGGAGACAGAGCCATAGAAAGATATTTAAAAGACATACATACAGATTTGCAGAAAGATTTACAGACAGACAGATAAATATGAGCCGGACAGACAGACAGACATATTTCTCTCCTACCATAAGCTCTGAGTCCAGCAACAAAAGCCAGAAACACCGCAAGTCGGAGAGGCTGCATGTTGTCCAGTTTTCTCTACCAATGAGACAAACAGCCACCAGACATGGGCAGATAAATAGATGGGAACCGGCCAGTCAGGGGGAAATAATTGTGTTGCGCGTGGCTTCTCTAAATCATACCACCTGTACAATGCTTGAACTGCAACGGTATGTGATTTTGTGAAGGTCATTTTCAGATATTAAAGATTGACAGCTCGACCATGTAATTCCTGCTTAACGGACTGGTTGTATTTTGAAGCAGGACGCGTGTTTACCTTACAGTGGAATTCGTTTGTTTTCAAATGCATTATACGCATGATAATTTTAGATTCAATATGTAAGTGTATCTGTCTGATAAACACCTATGATCTGGATTTCCACTTTGAACACATCTTGGGAATTTTTTGTTTCTAACAAATCGCGCGTCCGCCGTTCGCTAGTGTAGTAAGATCAAGTATTTAGTTTATCTCAGACACTTTTGATAAACCGGATGTGACATTTAAAAATTATGCATCCTGAAAAATCTTATTCTTATTGTCAATAATATTGTTATGTTTCTTCCAAACCAGTCCTATGGAGCATGGACTTCCAGCTGGCAAGAAACAAATTATTACAGCAGTCTAGTGTGGGTTGGGAGTCGCAGTGGCGGAGAGATTAGACGCTCGCCGCGGATCGGAAGGTATTGGATTCGCTCCCTGGCGGAGCCGGACTTTTTTCATAAATAACCTTGGCTCTCAGCCTTGAGTGGGTACCTGGTGCAGTCCCGAGAAGTGAAAGCGACCGGCGTGATGGTGACCATATCACCCACCTTGTGCTGATTCTATAAAATATAGCTCTAGCCCCATCTGCCCTATACGCCTAAAGGTGTGGTAAGGGGCCCTTTACTTTTTGTTCACTAGTGTGGGTTGGGATACACTTGATAATCTCCCTTGATAATCTCATATACACAGTACACATCTCTGTACACGCCAATGGCGTTTTGGGCAAGTGAGGCTGAACTCATATTTTACTCTGGACCGGTGAAGTATCTCTATAGAAAGACAACCAGACAGACAGACAGTCAGACCGACAGACAGACTAGTGGCTGGGAAATCTTGTAGAGTATGATGTACAATTTTTCTTTTAAAGCCTGGTACAAGTTACAGTCACTATTTTTTTTTTTTTTTTTTTTTTTTTTTTTAAATTATAAATTTTCTAATTGCCTGGAAATACATAGCAACATTTGTTTACTCTATTTCAAAGTCAAGAAGAAACTGAAATAACGTGTTTTGAAATTCTAAAACCATCTCATGTCAATAATGTAATGACACGCTCGACTCTCTGAAGTTAATGTACCATATCTATCAAACGATGGATACATGTGCTGTAGGCATACGCACATGGGAAATGGGAGATTGAAACTAATGACTACAGATGATCTGCCGCAGGGACCAGAGGCCATGATCTGCCAGCTGGTAAAGTCCGTGCATACACGAGCTGATGCTAAAGCCTTTATGTCCGCTATCATTGGCACAACACATCTCTGATACAGAAATATAAATATCAGATGGGGATTCTTCTATAACATTTAATTTTAATCTAAACTTCGGCTGAAAGTTACGGTTGTTCGTCCACATCTGGACTTTCCCAGTGTTGTAAAACGTTTTTTTTTTTTTTTTTTTTTAGTTTACCCTAATTTACATAGCTCGCTTATTTGCATGTAGATTGTTGGTTTCTTGTCACTGGAAAAATATACTTCAACATCGAAGGAAACACTAATAACTAGCCACTTTTAACTACATGATGGCTGGAAACAATAGATCTGATCTTGTTTGCCACAAAATACGACTCCAGAACCCACACGGCACAAGTAAGTCAGGAAAAGAGCAAGAATTCTTACTGATATACCCCAGTAGATGGTAGAGGGCATGAGTCAAGGGGATACCCCAGTAGATGGTATAGGGCATGAGTAGAGGAGATACCCCAGTAGATGGTAGAGGGCATGAGTCAAGGAGCTACCCCAGTAGATGGTAAAGGGCATGAGTCAAGGATATACCCCAGTAGATAGTTGAGGGCATGAGTCAAGGGGATACCCTAGCAATTGGTAGAGGGCATGAGTCAAGGATATACCCCCGCAGATGGTAAAGGCATGAGTCAAGGATATACCCCCGCTGATGGTAGAGGGCATGAGTCAAGGATATACCCCCGCAGATGGTAGAGGGCATGAGTCAAGGATATACCCCCGCTGATGGTAGAGGGCATGAGTCAAGGATATACCCCCGCTGATGGTAGAGGGCATGAGTCAAGGAAATACTCCAGT